ATTTTGTTTATTTATTTGAGAGTGAGAGACAGGGAGAGAGAACTTGAGCATGAATAGGGGGAGGAGCAGAGGGAAAGGGAGAAGCAGACTCCCTGCTGAGCACGGAGCGGGAGGGGCGGGGGGCTCTATCCCAGGACCCTGGGATCATGACCTGAGCCGAAGGCAGACTCTTAACCAACTGAGCCACCCAGGGGCCCCAGCACCAGCCATTCTTATATGGTTGCTTCCCCTTTGCCAGTCTGGCTGCCATTCAGGGGACACAAGAAACTTCCGGTGCTCCCTTATCTCTTCTCCACCCTTACCGGTCTCGCCTCCTATCCGATGGTGGAAATATGTTCCTGTGTTTTCCCTTCATACTCATAGTAGTTCTGAGTTTTTATCTATTTTGCATGATTAATGCATGTGGAATTTATTTTGCTATGGGTTGGGGGTGAAGTTAACTTTTTTTCTTTCCTAATGCAATCAAGACTACTGACAGGTTGATTTATCCTTTCCCTGCCCAGTGAAAATTCCACATTTATCATGTATTAAATTCTTTACATATGGAATTCACAAATTAATTTTTTAAATACATGCACCTGGAAAACTCTAAGCTATGTTTTTACTTTCAGTCTTAGCTATCTTTTTTTTTTAAGATTTTATTTATTTATTTGACAGAGAGAGCAAGAGAGCACAAGCAGGGGGAACAGTAGAGGGAGAGGGGGGGCTCGATCCCAAGACCCTGAGATCATGATCTAAGCCGAAGGCAGACACTTAACCATCTGAGCCACCCAGGCGCCCCTTAGCTATCTTTTTAAAAAGATATTATTTATTTATGTGAAAGAGAGAGAGAGAGAACACACACACACTCAAGCTGGGTACAGGGGCCGGGGAGGGAGGCAGGGAGCAGGGGGAGAGAGAATATCCCAAGCAGGCTCCAGGCTGCGCAGAGCCCCCAGGGGCTTGATCTCAGGACTCTGAGATCATGGCCTGAGCTGAAATCAAGAGTTGGACACTTAACTGGCTGAGCCACCCAGGCGCTCCCAGTCTTAGCTATCTATAAATGGTTTGTGTACTGTGTTTATTCATTCAACAAACACCAAGTGCCAGGTGCTATTTTGGGCCCTGGAAACAGTTGTGAACAGAACAGACATAAATCCCTGCCCTTGTGCTGGGAACAGGCAAGGGGGCAGACAATAAACAAGCAGTATGTAAATGTGTGATGTGTCAGGTGGTGATTAAAAATAAATAAATAAGGGGCGCCTGGGTGGCTCAGTTGGTTAAGCGACTGCCTTCGGCTCAGGTCATGATCCTGGAGTCCCGGGATCGAGTTCCGCATCGGGCTCCCTGCTCGGCGGGGAGTCTGCTTCTCCCTCTGACCCTCCCCCATCTCGTGCTCTCTCTCTCTGTCTCATTCTCTCTCTCAAATAAATAAATAAAATCTTTAAAAAAAATAAATAAAAATAAAAATAAATAAATAAAATAGGGTGATGGGGTAGAGGTGAAAGGGATGCTGTTTTGGATAGGATGGTCAGAGAAAGCCTCGCTGAGGAGGGGATGATTGAACAGAGGCCTGAATGAAGTGGAGCCACATGGACATCTCTGGGAAGAGATTTCGAGGTAGAGGGAACAGCCAGTGCAAAGGTCCTGGGGTGAGACCATGCCTGGTGAGTTTGTGGTATAGTTAATGAGGCCAGTGAAGGTGAACCAAGTGAAGGGGAGAGAGGGAGGAGACCCGGCAGAGCGTAGGGGGCCTTAAAGGTCATGGTGAAGAGTTGGGTTTTTCCTCCAAGGGAGGCGGGAGCCATGGAAGGTTCTGGGCAGAGGTGTTCACAGGCTTCTCGGGCTGCCACGGAGGGAACAGACAGTGAGGGGAGGGGGAGGGGGGGAGCTAGGAGAGCAGGGTGGAGCTGCCTGCACTGGTCCAGGCAGGAAACCACAGCTGTGTGACGAGGGTGGGGGTGAGAAGTGCTTGGATTCTCGATAGATTCTGAAGGCAGAGATGGCGTGAAGTAAAGCGAGGTGTCTCCGGTTTCTGGTCTGGGCACTTGGGAAGACGAAGCTGCCTTTTCTGAGCCGGGGCAGGTTGGGGACCCATCAGGGGCTTGGATGTAGCTGTGCTGAGTATGAGACACCCATGAAGCCTCCAGGAGGTGGGTGTCACAGGGGTGTGCAGCTCAGGGGACCAACGTTGGGGGATCGTCAGGGTGGAGCTGGTGGCTGAAGTCCGGGCTCTGCAGGAGTGTCCCCAAGGGACCTAGTGTAGCTGGGAAGAGGCCGCAGCCTGTGCCGGGCCCGCTTTTTTTGTCCACTGCTTGGACTGGGTGGGTGGGACCAGCCAGCCTTGGGGTTGGCAGAGACCACGGGAACCACAGGGTTTCTCTGGGAGGCCTGGTCACCCAAGGGCATGGCTTGGAGCCTTGAACCTCCCCTGTTTGCTGAAGCCTGTGGGCCAGGGGTCAGGTGGGGCTTCCACAGCTGGAGGCCCCTCGGGGGAGGTGCATTCCTCTAGGGATAAGCTGACTTAGTGACCAGAGCCCTGCCAGGGGATGCTTGACTCTGAGGTAGCAGCTTACTGAGCACCAGCTGTATATGACCACACTCTAGAACCCCATCGCTGACTGTATGCCTCACGCTGAATATATATTCCTGCTGATCATGCCACGGCACCAACTATGTAATCGACTACACTATGAAGTATACAGCTGGCCTCAAAGAGCTGTTGGGGGCGGTGCAGTGCGAACAGGCACATGATCGAGGGAGCATACAGTTGGCTCGGGGAGCGGATGGCTGGTGTGGGGGAATACAGTAAGGGGGGGAGTATAGCCAGCTGACTGTACACCTTGCACCAACTGTATACGCCCCCACCCCTGCTGTGTACCCCCACACTGATTAAACACCCTCTTTGCGGGCTGTATGCCTCCACCCCAGCCGTGGCCCCTGCATGCCTGTGCCCCCACATCCGTGAAGCACCCCTACACTCACTACAGGGTATCCGTGCCGGCCATAAATTGCCAAGCCAACTGTATGCCTCCTGGTATCCTGTGATTGGTCTGTGACCAGTTTTGGTTTGACCCTTTAGCCCCATTTCACAGTTGAGGGGGCTCAGGGCAGGCAAGACACTGGCTGAATTGTCCTCTGGCTCGGATGGGGCCGAGGGAGCATTTGAATCTAGGCCATGCATTTAGGATGTCAGCTCCACGAGAACAGACCCACAAAATTGGGTCTCTCGTTTGCCACCGTACTTAGTGCCCAGCCCGGGGCCAGCACCCGGTAGGTGCTCAATAAATACTTGTTCTACAAAACAATGGCTTCAGGATTCACAGTTGGGATGTGTGAAGGGGTGGTGAGCTCGGCTGTCTAGCCTTGGGGGCCCCCCGAGGGCAGTGCCAGGCAGGGATGGGGCATCTGGGCTGCCAGTCTCATTTTGCCAGTCTTCAAGAGAATAGCGATGTGGGTCTTTATACGGAGTCTCCCAATGTTTCACTATTGGCATTTCATTTAAAAAAAAAAAAAATGCAGACCGAAATAAAACGCGTCCACTGGCTTGAGAGTTTTCAGCGCAAATACTCTGTATTTGGGAGTTTGGGTTCAGCCATCTGCCTGTTTTGCGGCGCCTCTATCTAGAGTTACCTCCCTGCGCGCCTCAGTTTCCATACCTGCAGAATGGGGCAACATGAGGCGCCCTGCCCGGGGTGAGAGGGGTTGTAGGCGGCGTCGCCTGGTTGGGACGTATGCCGAGGCCGCGGGGTGAAGCCGGAGTTGCCCGGGGGGGGGGCTGGGCGGGGGGGGGCCGGAGAGGGCTAAATCGGGTGGCGGGTGAGCGGCGGGAGCAGCTGCCGCCCCGCGCGGCCCTCCCTCCCCCGCCCCCCATCCGTCGGCCAGTCCGTCCCGAGGCTGCAGCTCAGCTAGGGCCGGTCAGACCGGTTTGGGCCGCCCCGCCTGGCCCCGGGCTGGGAGGAGCCGCCGCCCGTCGGTCCAGCCGTCCCTCCCACGGGGCGCCCGCGCTTCCAGACCCAGCACCGAGGGGGCTCGGAGCAGGCAGCCGGCCGCCGGGGCTGGGCGCCCGCGGGGATGGGGAGCGAGCGGCAGCATTACTACGGGAAGCACGGTAGGCAGCGCCCCCCTCCCGCCCCCGGGCCTGGCCACTTGGAGGGGGCAGCGGGAAGACCCGGCCGGGAGCCAAGAGTGGGGAGCAGAATTGCCCATCTCTGCGGGTAGCCCCTCACCCTAGTCCTCTTCGGGAGCTGCCTCTCAGAGCCCCCTCCAGACCCTCTCCACTGAAGGGTTTGTCTTCGTAAGCCCCCTGCCCTGTACTCCTGCAGGAACCTTCTCCAGATCCCACCTTGGAACCCCCCCCTCCCTGCCTGGCTCCCCGTTCCCAGTTCCCGGTCCAGCCCCTTCCTCAGTAGGTGGCCCCCAGTCCTGCCTCCTCCGCAGTGGGTGGCCGTCAGGTGATAACTCGGGGCTGGTCTCCATCAGCCACGGCTCCCCCTGCCTCGGCCTGCCCGTACTGGGGGCTGGGGTGTGGTCGCCGGGAGGTAGGGTGAGGCAGAAAAATCCACTGGGTCTGTGGACTTCACTCTTCCTCTGGGCCAGAGATACCCCTAGGGGCTTCTGGAGGAGGGTAGTCTTGCAGCCCCTTCTTGGTCACCCTGCTCAATCTTGCCGATTTTCAGGAACACCACAGAAGTATGACCCTACCTTCAAAGGACCCATTTACCACAGGTAAGGGCTCTGGGTTCCTGGGAGAGAAGGGTCAGTGTTAGCACTGCCTCAACCCCTGTTTCTTTACCCCCCAGACGTTTCTTTACCACATCTGCTCTCCAACAAACTGGTGATCGATATTTGCGACTTGACAATTAAAGAACTAATTTCCCAAATATACATTCTTTTTTAAAAAAGATTTTTATTTATTTATTTGAGACAGAGAGTGAGAGAGAGAGAGCAGGAGCGGAGGGCAAAGGGAGAGGGAGAAGCAGGCTCCCTGTTGAGCAAGGAGCCTGACTGGGGACTCGATCCCAGGACCCTGAGATCATGACCTGAGCTTGAAGGCAGACGCTTAACCAACTGAGCCACCCAGGTGCCCCCAAAGTCTTTACAAATGAATATTTATTTATTTATTTATTTATTTTTAAAAGATTTTATTTATTTATTTGACAGAGAGAGACACAGCGAGAGAGGGAACACAAGCAGGGGGAGTGGGAGAGGGGGAAGCAGGCTCCCCGCAGAGCAGGGAGCCCGATGCGGGACTCGATCCCAGGACCCTGGGATCATGACCTGAGCTGAAGGCAGTCGCTTAACCAACTGAGCCACCCAGGCGCCCGAATATTTATTTTTTATTTTTATTTTTTAAAGATCTTATTTATTTATCTGAGAGAGAGTGAGTGAGAGCGAGCACAAGCAAGGGGTGTGGCAAGCAGAGGGAGAGGGAGAAGCAGACTCCCTACTGAGCAGGGAGCCCAACATGGGGCTCAATCCCAGGAGTCTGGGATCATGGCTGAGCTGAAGGCAGACCCCTAACTGACTGAGCCACCCAGGTGCCCCACAAATGAATTTTTAAACTCAGGCAAAAGACTGGAAGAGGGACGCCTGGGTGGCTCAGTCGGTTAAGCGTCTGCCTTCGGCTCAGGTCATGATCCCAGGGTCCTGGGATCGAGTCCCGCATCGGGCTCCCTGCTCCGCGGGGAGCCTGCTTCTCCCTCTGCCTCTGCCTCTCTCTCTCTCTCTCTATCTCTCATGAATAAATAAATGAAATCTTTAAAAAAAAAAAAAGACTGGAAGAGATAATTTCTAGAACAAAAAATACCATAGACAGTGAAGTTATGGGGAAGTGTGCAAACTCACTGAAAGGTAAAGGAATGGGATTTAAAACAGGAACCAAATAGTTTCCCCATCACAGATTAGCAAAGATTAAAAAGATTGGCACATAGGCCGCTTTGAATCTAAGTGGCTCAGTATATTTTGGAGGGAATTTGGAAATACGAAATTTTTTAAAAAGATTTTATTTATTTGAGAGAGAAAGCACGCGCGCGGTGAGCATGCACGTGGGCTCACGTGGGGGGGGGAGGGGCAGAGGGAGAAGGAGAGAGAGTATCCCTAGCAGACTCCGTGCTGAGCCAGGAGCCAGCTTGGGGCTCGATCCCATGACCCTGAGACTGTGACCTGAGCTGAAACCAAGAGTCTGATACTTAACTGACTGAGCCACCCAGGTGCCCCAAAATATGAATTTTTTAAAAAAGATTTAATTTATTTATTTGACAGAGAGAGAGCACAAGTAGGCAGAGCAGCAGATGGAGAGGGAGAAGCAGACTCCCCACCGAGCAGAGAGCCCAGTGCGTGACTTAATCCCAGGACCCTGGGATCATGACCCGAGGCGAAGCCGGCTTCTCTTTCTGCCTCTTCCCCAGCTTGTGCTCTCTC